AAAGAGCCAAACTCGACTCTTTCTCAGAAATTAAAAGTAACGAAGTCCAATAAAAGTGCTATAAAGATTGCAATTAAAAGCTGAAACTAAGAACAAAAATGATCAGCTAGGAGATACGCTGTGTGTATTATTGTTGGACATTGGCAATCTTTTTATTGTTTTTATACAAAGTCTTTCAATGTAATTGCATTTACATTAATATTTTTTTTATATGTTCATTATAATAAATCAATATGATGAGTTATTAAGCTATAACTTTTCTCATTTGGTGCAGAGCATTGCAATTTCTTATACTTAAATAACCAGTCCACGAAATGCCTTAAAATCAGCCTGCTACATTTTTAAGTACATTACTCTCGGTTGCCACACACAAAGAGGCCATAAGTTCATTTGCACAAAGCCTACAAAACTGACATTAAAAGCTGAGATATCTCTTTATAATGATATCATGTATGGGAGCTCATTTGAACATTAATAAAATTGTATGCCGCTGACAGCATAAATGTCACCAAAGTGCTATTAAAACTAAATTATAGCCGACATAACCATGATTCATTAGGACAAACCGAGAAGACGCTGAGCAGATATCATAAAAAATACAAGATGTGGCAATAACTCGCAAATTTGTAGCTAGCTTAAATACGAAACAATTTTTTTTTATTAATTTGTAATATCAACGCAAACCAGAAAAAAAGCTCCAAAAAAATGTAGCAAGGCGTGTTCAGCTTTGAAAATGTGCCAAAAAGTTTACAATCAACGAGCGCCTCGGCTTTAATACCCTTTTTATGCGAATTTCAATGGAAATAGGGATGGGTACCCCACATGCCGCAGTGGGACGGGCTTTGTCGGGGTGGGGCACCAAATGGAATAATGAAATTAAAATGCGCCTTTTGCTTTGGCAAACTCAGTCACTTGGACACACAAAAATACGAAGCAATAAAAACAATAATGAAATCAAAAGAATAAAAACAAGCCAGAGTAGCGCCAAATGGAACCAAAGAGAATGGACATTGAAATGGATCGGTTCTCGTTTGGAATTATAATGAGCTTTATTTTCATATTTTGTTTTGCTCCCTTTCATAGCAGCGGGTTTCGGAAAAACATTATTTGAAGAAGATAATTAAATTTAGTGCAGTATTGAGTGATAGATATTTCCAATGCAATAATAAAGTTCATCAATATTTCGGTAGAAATTCAATAAATGCTTGAATTCGCTATTAATTATAATTTTTAGATTTTTTAGAATGTGTTTTTATATACCGTAAAGATAATATTGATTCCGAATTTTAATGATGGAAATTGAACTAAATTTTGGTATTTAGCTTACGTTTTGTCAACTATTTATAATCAGAATTTTTGATAAACTTTAAAAATCATTTAAAACAAATGATTAAAGGAGTTAAATAAGTCAATAAATGAACCCATTTAACATATAAATTTGACAAATTTGACATTTTAATTATGTTTGTAAATAAATGCTTTTGTGAATATGAATATTTTTTTATATAAGATGTTAAAGTGAATGTTAATGTTGTTTAACTTGTAAATATTTAAAATATTTTTCAATGCTATGTTTTAAAAATTTAAATTTGTTAAAACGATTTATTGAAGCGTTTAAATACGCATGAGCTTTCAGACAAGCTGTCAATCTGTTGCACGCCAATGCCAAAGCCCCATCCATATAAATATGTATGCACTTATATTTATGCCAATATGGAGATATTGTATACAAATAACAGGTGGCATTTCCGGTTTTGTGCACCATTGGCCACACAATTTCAATGTTGCAGTGCAAATATTGTTTTTATGGCAGCACATACCAAATACAATTTCAGGTAAATATTGTGTGTAACAAATTTGAGACTTAAATATAACGAAAAAAAAAACATATACTTGTTATTAGTATCTTTGTAAAGGTTAATATGAAACGGACTTACAGAGCAATAAAAAGACAGGGAAATATACTATGGCAATCATTTTGATTGTTCAATTGTCTTTAAGTATTTCAAAAATTTCAATTTTAAATTTTTCATAGTTTCATAGTTTCATTAACAAATCGCATATGTCCATCATACTGTTGCAGCCTTTTATGTTTTTCAAATTATCTTGACAAAACCCGGCATTTTTACAAGAGTGTTTAAAATTCTGTGTGCTGAAGACAGCCGTTTTTTCTCTAGCTTAATTTCGTTTTGCTCTTTTCTGTCTATCGAATGCCTGCGGCTGGGCCGTGCCGGGGATTTGCGACAAAACTTTCCGCTTATTTTGTCGTCTGTCTCCAGACGAAAACAACGACGGCGACGGCGACTGCGACAGCGACATCGACGAGAACTCCGCCTGAACTTATGTGGGCAAATATTTATTTTAGGATTTTTATGAAGTTGGCAAAAAAGAAATCAAAAGCAGAAACCGGAAAATCTCCGTGTTGCGTCTTGGCTAATAAAACTCAACTTAGACTGAGTCAGTCGGCTGGCTGCTTCAGTCAATAGCCGCCGGAGTGCTTCTTGAAATGATTTAATAAATTATTTGAAAAAATCTAAACATAAAAATCAATTAATTTTTTTACTCTTTCTGCCAATATGCTGCTAATTGAATTTTTCACAATAAATAAGAGTTAAAGACCTAACCAAAAATGAAAAAACAAACCATTGTCATATCGGTTGAATATACTGGCAGAGACCAACTGCCTATTCACTACCATAGAAAATGTCCCTGGTTCAGACTAAATGAATTATGTAACATGTCTAGCCATTTAGTGCCATAATTCAGAACAATCTATGCTAGCAGACACATCAATGCCGGGTAAAATGGGCCTAGTTTAGGGAGTAAGCGGGCCGCTTTGGTGCTGGGAAGGGATCCAAATTGCTCGGCAGCGAGACAAATTGCATTTGCATAGGATAATTGGAATTGCATATTGAAAAATGTTTATGCCTTGAAATGGAATGGCAAAAAAAACGATTGAAAACTATAATTTGTTGGCGGTTTTGTGGCTTTTCTGTGGCAGTCCGATGGTAAACAGTGTGGGCTTATTTATCTACTCGCACGTGGAGGGGCAAAACAAAATGAGTTTTAAAAAAATCAAAATCCGTCTTTGTTGAACAAATTGGCTTAACAAGAAAGCTAAGAGCTATTGTAACTTAAATCGAAGTTAAAAAACTTGGACATATTTTTCTGCAATATTACCCTCTTAACGAATTATAAAAATATTTTCTGAGTTGATTTTCCCCGAAGCTAACAAATTATCCGGCTTTAAGCTGTCACTTTGCTTTCATTTGGACCTTACGAACAGAAATTTTAAAATTTTAGAGTATATTCAGATTGTTAATGTGTCGAGGATGCCTGTCGCTGTCCGCTTGGTGGAAGCATTGGCCATAGTCACACTAATGGCTCTCATCACATGTGTGTCTCTCGGCGTAGTCATTGCTCAGCGGACGCTGAGCCTCACCATTACATTCATAGAGGTAAATCCAATAGAACATTCACACAACTTAGATCTTAAATACATCGATTTCTTAGCCAGCAGCAAATATACTTGACGTAGTTCTGATCATGGCCGAGAAGATGTTCATAGGCGCCTTAGTTTCCACGGTTGCTCTAATTAACACCGTTTGCGGTGCATTGCACATGATTGGTTTTGCCTGAAGAATTAATTGACTTATACATTGTCATGGCCTGTCATTACTGTGCATTAAATATATTTCCTGTCGAGATACATTTTAAGTCAAATCTTAAGTATTGTAGTTTGTATAAGCGTTTCTTTTACTAAAAATGGCTAAATTTTCGACGAATTGTAGCCTAATGCCAAACAAAACATAACTATGTATTTTGTTGCATATATACTCATGAAATATTTGGGTTTTTAAAGCAACGAACACTTCTCCAGCTGCAATTTAAAAGTCGGCTTTGACCCTTTAGCCAGCCAACTATAGAGTAAACGAAACAAGAATTTATAAAGGCACCGCACTAATATTCAATCAAACAATTTCACGCCCCAATAATTTTTTTAACCCCCCGGCGGCTAAACAAAATGCACTCATTGCAGCAAATTTGCGCTATACTTGAAAAATCTGGAAAAAATCAAGTTTTCTAATCAAGGGTGTCCGACTAAGAGGTACCCTGTATACAGCTGATTTGATTTAAAAACCTAACTTATCCTATTGTTTAATTAAATTAATTTTATAATTTCTAGAAAATTTACAAAAGTCGAGAAACGTTTTTTTTTCAGCAAAATTTAATACTTTAAGACCCTAGACCCAAATCTAAGTCTTGTTTGTAAGTATATATCGTTCCTCAAGATTTGTCAGATTTAGATAGACAGACAGATAGAGGTTCGTAAATATCTACGACTATCTTTTATAAGTATTTTCTCAACTGCAATATACCCTATTTCAATCCATTCACAATAGTAGCATGGCATAAATGGAAAATAAGAATAAGAGCTCGAATGAATATGTCTGTTTCTGCTTCGAAATACTAACTTCGCTCGAGGATGTCCATAATTTTAAGGCCCGTATACCCTAAGCCCCTCTCAAATGTTTTGAATTATGGGGTTCACTTTTATTTGGGCCTGGCACGTTAAGGCCGCCTTTAATGTTTTAGCACCTTTTGCGCTGTTTATTCTATTATTTAGTTATTTATCAATGCTTCAGTATCCTTGCCAAACTGGACCTCAATGGGACATGCTCGCTCGTTGTGTAGGAGTTGTGGGCTTCTTTTTTTTTTGTTGGAGTAATTCTTGTTGTTTTGATTTAGTGCCAATTTCGTGCAGAAAAATTGTTTAATGCCTCGGGGGCAAAGTTAAAAAACAAGCAGATTACAGACGGAAATTGAAGCGGCTCGAGATGCCAGTTAACAAGCGAGAGAACAATAACAACTGCGTCACCTGAGGGTCAGGTTTTTTGTGGCCTGTGTGAGTTTGTCCATTGTAGCCAACACCTGATAATGTGGATCTGAAACTGCTGAAAAAAACTGGATTGGGCCAGTTCAAGCAGCAACTTGCACAATTTGTGCCAGCATTGTAAATGAAAGAATTTTTATTTTTCCATTTATATATAATCGTATATTAGGGTTGTTCCTTATGGATTATCCAGTGTGAAGCGAAACCAATCAGATATAAAAGTGTTCTCATTGCGGTTCTCACTTACGTCAAACATAAGTACGCCCGGACTTGACACATAATCGAAGTGGTAAACCGAATTGGGATCCTCTAATTGCATCGCAGTGCAAATCTGTTGCAGAGTATAATGCATAAATTCAATGCACATGTCACATGACCAATTGTTGATCTGCAGGTGAAAAGAAAACATAAGCAACACAAATTAAAATTGTATTTACTCACATTATCGCTAATTAGTGAAGTCAATGAGCAGGTGGTAAGGTTTTGTACGTGCCCAGTAGGCTGGGGACGAGCTACGTAAATTTCCTTAACACCCTTCAAATAGCAGTCTGACCACCACATTAAAGCTTCTTCTGGATCTGGTTTGGAGCTCGAGCGTTGAATATCAGAATGTGGAAGAATTACCTTACATTCGGCAAATCTGCTTGAGTTTTTGTTTAAGGCCCTATAAAAATAGAGGGATGGAAATTAACTTATGAGTAATATAATAACATACTCACTGTATTCGTTTGTTACAGTGCGCACCCATTGCAGATCCATAGACCACAGAGAGTCCGCCTACGCTGCACCTGAACACACCATGGAACTCGCCGCCATCAGATCTTAATGAGGATAAACTATCAGGTGCGTCTGTAAATCAATCAATGAGTAAACTTTAAAACTTATATCTATTAAGCTTTTGATAGTCCCACCTGAATATAGAAAACGCTTTAGCTTTGTCTCCATCATTTGGCAAGCTCGCTCCCTCTGCAAATCAGCCGGGGTCCTTCCCGAATTGTTTGGCTTGGCCAAGCACAAGTATATGGTATTTCGGTACTTGGTTCCCAGTATTCTCCAATCTCGACTCTTGTAGGGCGTACGCATCAGGGTCTGCAACAGTTCGTGCTGAGTAACAATGTCCGCCTGCACTACAGAACCAAGATCCGAAGACATTTTGACCATTTTATCGGGATGGTCTCTGATAAAGTACAACATATTATCTAAATACTCGGCATGATGCTGGTGCTCATCAGGCGAAACTAGTTGCTTATTAAGATTCAAGGGGAAAAGTTCCGGGCCAGGTATTACAAGAAACTTTAGCTCATTTGTATCGGAGCTATAGAAGCGCTCGCTGCTCACGCTGAAGCAACCAATTACTTTGGGCTCTAGCGTAAGGACCTTGCAATTTTTTTTATATTGTTTCTTATATTTTTTTATATATTCATCAGTCTTAAAAATAACTTTAGTGCGGGAATCCATGATAATTCCTGTGAAGTCAACTTCATTGAATATAGCTTTTTAATACAGAGTTTGACCAAATATAAGTTTACCTGTATCGCCTAGTCAAGTTCTTTAATGGGAATTGGCAGTGCAGCGACAAAATTTTACTATTGAATCCATTGAAACGTCAAACGACAGTGTTAGACAGTCGTTTACAAACGATATTCAATAGTATTGCAAATTGGCAGAAAAGTGTGTTAATAAATTTTCTACGATTACAAAAGGAAGGTTATCAAACATATTGAGGGCGTTGCCTTTATTTGAAATAAATTTTCTTATAAATCAAATTTTAAGCAAGAACATCGGCCTCAGGCACTTCTGGACCCTGACTGGTCTCAGCTGTGGCCATCTCTGGTTGCTGTGTAGTGCTGTTGACAGCTTCAGGCGTAGCAGCCTCCTCAGCCTGGCTGCAGGCGCATGAATCGCGAGTGTTTGCTTCAATCCACTCGTTAAAGTTGCTTACGCGCGTGTAAACTCCGGGTGATCGCGGCTTGGCGCAGCCCTCGCCCCATGATACAATGCCCGCCAGTTGATAGGTTTGCCTAGCGCCAATGACATGCATGGGTCCACCGCTGTCGCCCTGGCAGGAGTCCTTGCCGCCCTGCTCCACGTAACCGGCACAAATCATGTTGTCAGTTATCTTGGCTGTTCCATAGTTGGTGTCGCGGCACTCTTGCTGTGACAGTATAGGTACTTCCACCTCCTGCAGAGTATCGGAAATGGGTCCACCCTCACTGAGCGCACCCCAACCCGTTACCACGGCTGTTTGGCCAGCAAACGTTTCCGTGGGCGTCGGCAGGCAAACGGGATGCATGTCAATACCAAGACGCACTGGCTCATTGAAGCGAACCAGGGCAATGTCGCTGTCGAAGTTCTGTATGCTATAGCTGGGGTGCACAAGGACGCGAGCCACACGCCTGTCCACAATTTTCACGTTGCTGTCCTGGCGATTGTGCTCTAAGAGGCGCACAGTGATCAGGCGATGGTAAAAGCCATTGACGCAATGTGCCGCCGTCACGGCGTACTGGTCGTTAACCAGAGAGGCACCACAATAGAAGCTGCCAAACCACATGAGCATGGCCATCCAGGGATATTCGTGCACTTCTGTCTCCTGGCCCCCAACGATGCGATGACGCGTGTTGATATTGCCGCAAGCACAGGCTGGACACTCCCGCTTGGCGGGCACACTAGTGGCTGCGTACTCTGGGCCTATAATGGACACGATCCAGTCAAGGAAGCTGTTCTGGCGCAAATTGCTTAGAGACTCCAGAATCTTGGCTGGCTCTGAGGCGCTGCGTAGACTGGGCGTGGCTAGGGTGAGGCCCAGCAATGACAGTAAGCAAATGTATCTCATTTCTGTAACGAACTTTTCTGGCCAACTGGCAATTGGCAACTGAATCGGTGCATCCTTGCCACTGGCAGCAAGAAGCCAAGCTAGTAGAACCCTGCAACTGAACCTGAACGAACCTCAACCGGCTGCAGAACAGGCTAGACCAGCCACCAAACCGGACCCACCAAAGGTTATTGCCATTGTACTGATTGGTATGCTGAATCTCTATGAACATTTTACTGCTGTCTTTCATTCGTGTTTTTTTTTATTTTTTTTATTTTATAAATAAGGTAAAGACATATAAATATTATCGAATAGTCGAAGTCTTTAATACACTTGCAGATGCGTTTGCTAACAAATTTCTTTAATTTAGGTGAATTTTGATAATTTTGTGGGATAATAAGCGCAACATATAAAAAGAAAGGAACTAGTTTTTTTAATATTAAAAAACTAAACTTTCAATTGCTTTTTGTCTTAAATATTTCTGCGGAGGTTTCACGAAAAAATAAAAGTTTTTGGATATAAAAACTTGGATTTCGTCAAATAATAGTTATTGCGCATCATTGAAAATAATTTAAGTGTTGATTTAATTTAAGGCTGCTATGAATTACTTTTAATAAGAACTAACCCATTTGCAAGTGTATTATTGGGCATCACTACTACTACTACTACGAATGCTGAAGTCTGTACCAATTACTTGATCTTCTTGGTCTCTGCATGGCACAGACAGGCTTGTTTAGTGAGGTTTTTGATCCAGGTGCCGTAGCGATTCACTCGCGCATATACGCCTGGATAACCAGCCTTGGCGCAGCCCTCGCCCCAAGATACGACGCCGGCAATCTGATATTCGCGCGTGCCATTAGGCACAATGTGTAGGGGACCGCCGCTGTCGCCCTGGCAGGAATCTTTGCCGCCGTCATCGTAGCCACCACAGAGCATATTGTCTGTGATCTTGTTGCCATAACGACTCTTGCGGCACTCGTCTTGCGCTAAAATGGGCACTTGAACCTCCTGTAAGAAATCTTTAGTAGCCGCTGCCTAAGAACTCACTTATCAGCCGCTGTTTCTTACCTGGAGTGTATCAGAAGTGGGGCCACCCACTTTAAGCGCACCCCAGCCAGTGACAATGCCAATTTCGCCCTTGAAACTGCGACCTGGCGTGGGCATGCAAACTGGATGCAGCAGCTCATTAAACTCCACAGGCTCATCCAGCTTGATGATGGCAATGTCATTATCGTAGTTGCGTGCGTTGTACTTTGGATGCGTGATGACCTCCGCTACTTTCCGATCAATCTTTTGCAGATGCGACATCTTGCGATCGTGCTCCAGCAAACGGACAGAGATTCGCTCCTTGCGGAACCCATAGACGCAGTGCGAGGCAGTTAGCAGGAACTGATCGTTGAGTAGAGAGCCGGCACAATAGAAGCGTCCGCCATAGAGTAACATGCCAACCCAGGGATATTGATGCACCTCCGTCTCCTGACCGCCTACAATGCGCTTCTGAATGTTGGCAAGCCCGCAGACGCAATCGGTGCAGTTCCGTGGCGGGCTTAAGGTCGGAGGTGCCGGTGTTGTCGCTTTTCGGGTTGTCGTGGGGGCCACGGTTGTGGTTGTTGAGGTCACAATGGCTGGCATCTCAGTGGGCGCTGTCGCTGAGCTGCTCAGTGTGGCCACTGTGGCCGTTTCTGGGGCAGAGCCGGGGCGCTGCGGCAACAATGATAGAACCCATTGTACAAACGTATTCTGGGACTGCTTCAGCAGTGGCGATGCTGGCGTTGTGCCCGGCGAGGGATCTGCTGACGTGTTGTACTGCTGAGATGCAGCTGATCCGAGCAGCAGCAGCAGCACGCAGATCGGCAGGCAGCTCCAAGACATTTCACAAAAAGTTTGTGTGGTGGCTTTCTCTACGCTTAGGCGACACCACCAACTCGTGTGGCTCGTTGCAAACTGAAAAGTCAGCCACGAATTTGAAAGCCAGCGACAAACATTTCACCCAAATTCACATGACAAGCAACCGGCAGAAAAAAAGTGGTTCTGGCCTGTGGCACGTCCACTTTGCCAATCTCCACACTCATGCATGTGTGCGTGTATTTGTATTCTACGCATGCGTAGGCTCCGCCGGCTTGACCATGATAATAATACTTCACCCAGCACAAAATTAAAACTGAACGAATTCCATTCAACGCCTTTCTTATACCCTGACGACAGCTAGCTATAACTTACAACTTATTAGTTTGTTTGATTTTTAATAATAATAATACAAAAGCTTAACTTCCTCTAGATCAGTGGCCTGCATTATGTTATTCATAAATAATGTTTTACCTACCTGTATATCAAATACCTGTATATCTGATAGAACAGGTTTTTGTTGTAAGAAGCGCATTTAATCTTCGCTTCGCCGAATACAAAAATTCTCTGCTTTTTTTTATATATGAGTATATTTTGTTTTTGTTTTTGCCACTGAAGTAGCGAAAGTTTTTCTCGCTTTTGATTTTATTGAAATAAAGTTTTTATATGCTGTATATTCGCAGTTCGATTGAACGACGCGTCGTAATTTTACTTTCTTTTGATTTATTTTATTGGGCTTATGTGTATGTGTGCATTTTGTTTGTATAGCAAACTTTTTCTGTGTGTGTGTTTTGGGCATTACAGTGCTGGCAATTTTTGTTTTAGTCGTGGAGCGACTACCAACACTGCTAAATCGTTTACATTTACACCGTTTACGTGGTTGGCCAGGTAAATATACTGCTGGCTGCTTGTACAGTCTTGTTAGAGGAGTTTCTGTGTATTTAATTGGGTTATGAAAAAGTAGAGATTTATACGACTATAGGGTTAGCCAACAGATGATTCAATTGAAGAAGGTAAAAAGTTTCATTTAAATGTTATTTTCTACTGCTTAGTAACTGTAAAGGAGCAGAACTACAAATAACAGACAGCCCTAATATTTTGGTATAGGTGCTCGTTAAACTTAAGGAGCACTTAAGAGGTAAAACTATCTTTAAAGAAACTGAGCAGCGCCACATTCACGGTAACCAGAAAAGACTTTTTGTTATGTGTACAACAATTGTGAGACAGATTAATGTTGGCCAAACAACGCTGAAGCCGCGCGTGTCTCGCTTGGCAGTGAGTCATATATCTGGTCATGGCTCAAGTAGCCAGCCCACGACTATAAAATTTAATGGTTGTGTGTGTTTTTTGTGTGTGGGGGAGGGCAGTTGCGGCTGCGCCGTTTAGTCGGGCAGTTGAACGTTTATTGATAGATGGCCACAGTTGACAGATGAGCTCGGCACTAGTACGATGCAGATGCAGCTGGGCGAAATGGGGCCCGGCCACTGGAAAAAGTCATTAATATGCGCACACATAACACTTGGCATATTAATTGTCCGCGTAATGCGGCTAAGGGCCGTCCAAAGTGGAGAGTCGAGTCAGTTAGCAATGCTGATGACGAACTTATGTCGGGCTCAGCTTCAGTCTCAGCCAAAGCCATCAACCCAACCGCAGTTAAAACAAAGTACCATTTGCATAATAGCCATGCTAGACAAAAAGCCAAACAACATATTACCCATACATATATATTTAAATGGGAGTGTTTTGTGAGTGTGGTTGTATGTCCGTTGGGTTATTTATGCGATGAGGTAGTAGAACTGCGGACCTGCACTTGGCGGCGCAATTATGCAAGGCTGTCTCGTTATGGACTTCGAAACGTGACCACCAACAAAGTCCGACATCAGACCCTCACCCTGGCTGATTGGTGGGCAGAGCATGGACAGGGTTTAGATGTTAAACACGCTGGCAAATATGTTAATAGGCTTTGTAAAATGCACATTAGATGCTACCAGGGAACAGGCATTAAATTAGCTGCGGGCCAGCAATTAGAGCGATATTTAGTGAGTATCTGAGCTTTGCAATTTTTTATAAAAGTAATTGAATTATTTGTAGCAATAAATAAACCTTGGCTATATTATTTGTATTATCAAAACATGCTTGCATATTTAAATTTTTAAAAACTGAAAAAAATACAACGCCACATTTTCATGCATGTTTGAGAGCTGTCTGCAACAAAGGATCCAGTCAAAAATACCGCCGCGGGCTACAAACTGGAATTTAAATTACTCCCTTTGAATATTGTCCGAAAAACCTCAAAAAACAATTAAAAACGTGTTGCTGTGACCCTTCAATTTCGCCTTTTCAGGGCAAGCGTCGGTAAGCCGGGTAGCTGAAAAGTTGGGATATGTACATACATGTCGCGGTACATGGAAATGAAATTTTCACAGACAGTTTGGCGCGTGTAAAAATTTCACTCTTGATTTATGCGCGAAGTGCGGGAGAATAGCAACCCTCAAAGCGATAAGGGGGAAGTTTCCATTAAAGCCAACGGCAATTGAGTGGCAACAGAGATATTGCAACATATTTGCATAGACAACCTTTATGGCCAACTATTACATCGCATAGATAATGTTTTGCTATGCGCACTGCGAGCTAGCATAAAATTTTATAAGCCAAGTTAATTAAACTGGCAGTTGGTAGCTGGCAGTTAACAGTTAACTGCCAGAATAGTCTGTCTGCTCCTTTCGCAGCTTTGCGGTGGTGCAGGCAACTTTGTTCATTTGCAGTCAAAAATTTAATTAGTTATTCCATTTGCGCTTTCAGTTATATATATATTTGTTTATATATATGTATATACATTTTTTTCTGGCACTTTAGATTTCGGCATTCATGCAAATTAAGCCAATGCGCTCTTTGGCATTTTGGTGAAAGGTGTGCGGTAGCCCGAAGGACTCGAGTGTGGTCGGCGGCAGAAGGTTGTATTTCGTTAGAGTTAAGAATTAAATGTGCATCCCGATGTTAATAAATAGAATATGGCCCAAATTGAAAAAGAAAAACCATTGAGCAGGTTTTGAATGCAGCAGCAATGTCTGCTCAAAGTGATTCATTCATAAATAAGGAGACCAGAAGACATGAATGCCTCAAAAAGAATTTCCACAACTGACTTAAATATGCATCAAAGGACACGCAAGAACATGTTGCTACTTGAACAAGCTCCGTAAAATAGTGCAGCCGTTTCCACGGACAGCCGGAAGCGGAGGCAAAACTACCGTGAAGGTCAAAGAACAGGCTGTAACTTTACTTGGCATGCAACGCGCCATGCCTCTAACTTGCCACCGAGTCCAGAAGGCTGTCGAAAAGTTTTGAGTTTTGCAGCAAAACTTGTAGCGCTTGTAAGTTGAGAGCCAGCACGCGAAATTTGTCGATTATGAGTTGTACTTGCAGCTGGAGGATACAATTTTGGGACATGCTCAACTTGCAATAATTTGCATGCAACTCTGAAGTGGAAGGTAGCATGCAACCAGAGTGGCTCACGCAAGTCCTATAATAAATTAATTACAGTCATGTAAAAACCGTTGCATCTCAATTCAATAACTATTCCAACCAAAGGCGCTGAGCAAAGCGTTGATTTTTCCTACCTCTGCTGACACTGCCACCAAAAAACATAATATTACACTTAAATTTAAATTTCCTACCAACGTCATTAGATTATAACAAATACATATATGAGATAAAGTATACCTTTACGAAAAGTAGCGCTCCATAGCTATTTACGTAAGTTCTGAATTATAGCTTGCCATAAATCATACTTACTAGCATATATTTATAAGCCTTATATTCTTATGCTAATGTTAGCGACCTCTCGATGGCATAAATATATCTTCAGGCAGTACGAAGGATAAATGTATACATTTTAATTACACCAAATTTGGTCAATGACCTAATTAAAATTATACAATTATAACACTCTTTAAAATTTTTCAATGTTATTTTTTAAAAAAATTTTAAAAAATTTCGAAAAATGCAATTTTAATAACGAAATACCATAAAGCTTGTGGGCGCTTTCTCAGTAGATTTAAAATGGTTTGTGATAAACCCGTACATATTTTCCAGAAAGGATGACAAATTTTTTCATGCCCGTCATCGCCGATAATTTAATTTGCGTTATTTTGCCGCTGCCACTTCCGCTGACAATAAAATTAACTGCGGATTTAATTAATTGCGGTTTGCACTTTTCGCCTTTTAACCAGTTTGCTGTTCAGTAACAATTTATTCCACTATGGTTTGATTTTGTTTCTGTTTTTTTTTTTGTTTTTTGTTTTTATTTTTATTTTATTTTTTGGGTTATTGCATGGCGACTTTTGTTGATTGAATTTTCATAGGAAATCAGTTTTTAATGAAATTTGCATGGACCATGCATGCAAAGCATCAAATAAATTATTTAATCAACTTTTCAAGCCAACAAAAGGCGCATATACCGGATATAGAAGAATGTAAAACAACTATGACACAAGGTTTTTATGGTGTGCATTTTTTATATATATATATATAATTGAATTATCTCTTTAATAAATATAAACAAGTGGGAATTTTTACGAACTATTTCACCATATTTTTAAATTGCTTAAGGCTTAAATCATATTAATAATAATTTGAAATTGTTATTGTTTCTTGAAAATCAGAAGTATATTGTTATGTGATAAAGTCAGTGTCCTACTCAAGAAATAGCTACTTAACTATTTTTAAATAAAAACAAAGAACTATTCTTATTTATTTAAATAATTTAGTTTCCCACACTCAACTACTTATTCTAATGATCAGCGCTTGCATAGATCAGATGGAATTTTATTGCTTACTTTTGCGCCAATTAAAAAACGGCAATCAAATTTTGTATAACAATTTTCGGTATCTTAAAAAGGGCCAGTTTGCTGTTGTGTTCACAATACAATTTCCATGGACATAATGAGCCTTTATGAGGCATAAAATGCCCCATTTGATAGTAAGGGCACGACTAGACAAGCAAAACGCAAAGAAATTCCAATCACCTGTCTTCAGCATTGAATTCGATTTTTACGCTCTGCTTTCGCCTTCAATTCGTGACAATCGACTGACATTTGGTCAGTAACAAGAGCAAAAAACAGTCACAAACCTCTATTTTATGTGGTCCATAATGTTTCTGTTCAAAATCCCCCCACTCTATTTACATTTTCCACGCAACTTGAGCGCTTCGTTTTTTGTGTTTGAATTGATTTTTTTCAGCGGATTTTTGTCGCTTTGAATTTCGATTTTTATGGTCGTCAACAAGCGCTTAAAGTGGCAAAGCGTGTAACGCTCGGGGGCTCGGGGCTTCGAATCGGCTGTCAAATGGTTCTAAACTTGTGTGGCTAATTGGAACAGCTATTTGATTGGCGGAATCGTTGGCCGAAGAACGATGCAACGTTTTCCTTTCGTTTTTGGGAAGAGGACTTTAAGCAACCGGTGCTGTTCTCTACTTTTTAGTTGTGCTTTTTAAACTAACAAGTGATTGGAAGCACGTAAAATAATCTATAAATATGTCTGCTTTTTTGAAAAAGGCCTGCTTAATTAATAAGAACAATAATCAAACATTCGCTTATAATATTTGGTTTGCCCTAGGAATAAAACAACCCATTCAAATTTAATTATATCTATATGTAACAACTTGTAAGTCTCAACAACTTATCGAATTATATTACATTTTATAACTTTTACTCCCGCAAATCGATAAGCCCTTGAAACGCGATAAATATCGAATA